ATAGGATAATGACATGTGTCCTTTTCTGATAATGACATAATTATAACTGAGCCGGGCCAGTTATATTGTGATAATTATTTATAAAAAATAACTAAAAATAAGAGTTTTATATAGAATATGATTGATTTTATTAGGTAATTTTGAGATTTTTATAAAAACTATAATTATCCATAAAAAAAAACTAAAAATAAGAGTTTTACATATAATGTGATTGGTTTTATTAAGTAAATTAGATTTTCTTTTATTAAAAAACTTGTAATAAATAAATAAATAGGTAATTGTGTTAGAGTTTAATATAAACTCTTTTAAAAACTCTTTTATATCAATTAATAAATATTTTTTATTTTTATAATTCTTGTCTAATTAGATTTACTTTTAGTAAAAAAAAACTCAAAATAAATAGTTAAATAGGTAATTTGTGTTTTAAAAACTCTTTAAAAATCTCCTTTTGTATCAGTTAATAAATAATTTTTTATATTAATAATACTTGTCTAATTAGGTTTCATTTTATTAAAAAACTCATGATAAATTGGTAATTTGTGTTTGAGTTTTATACAAACTCTTTAAATATATCTTTGTTGATAGAGTTTTATTGATAATAAAATAGGTAATTTGTAATAGAGTTTTATTGAAATTATTTTATTTTCTTTAAATATATACTTGTCTAATAAGTTTTAATTTTATTAAGATACTCATAATAAAAGCTAATTTGTGGTAGAATTTTATAAAAATTATTTTATTTTATATATCAATTAATAAATATTTTTTATATTAATAAATCTTGTCTAATTAGATTTTCTTTTATTAAAAATGGATAATAATAAATAGATAAATAGGTTAATTTAAATTTTATTATATAGATTTTATTGTTTTATAGATTTTTTTTTTTTTGTTTTAGTAAAAATTCTTTTCATATCATTTAATAAATATTTTTTTTATATAAATAAATAATGAAACTTTTTACACATCTAATAATAATATAGATAAAAATTCTTTTTATATCAATTAATAAATATTTTTTTATATAAATAAATAAATACTGAAAACTCTTGACAGAACTTTTGTATTTTACTCTGAAATTCAACTCAATTAATAAATATTTTTTATATAAATAAATAAATACTGAAACTCTTTGGCAGAACTTCTGTATTTTACTCTGGAATTCTAGATTTCTAGAATTCTCAATTTCTGTACCCCTTCCTCCTTCCTCCATGCCTCTATTTATAGGCTTCTTGGATAAATAGGATAAATAAGAGTTTTATATAGAATGTGATTGATTTTATTAGGTAATATTTAGAGTTTTATAGAAACTATAATTATCCATAAAAAATAACAAAAAATAAGAATTTTATATAGAATGTGATTGATTTTATTAGGTAATTTTTAAAATTTTATAGAAACTTCTTTTAAAAAAACTATTTTTATATCCATTAATAAATATTTTTATATATATATAAATAAATAAATACTGAAATACTGAAACACTGAAACACTTTACACATTTAATAATAGTGTATATATATATATATATATATATATATATATATATATATTGATCGTTTCATACCATTAATAATTTAATACAATGTTAATATATAGAGGGTGAATCGGAAAAAAAATCCCTCAAACTTTTACCCGTTTGTAAAAACCACCCCTTATGAATATTTTTAATAATTAACACCCCTCAAATATCATGAGGGGGTCCTTTTAACTAATCTCTGAGTGATTTTGTGAGAAAAATTTTATGACAAAATTACTCTTAACATGAAACATCCGTTTAAGTGATTGTGTGATAAAATTTTTGAACGAAATTACCCTTAAAACTAAAGTACCCACCACTCAATTTTTTATTTATTTATTTTTTTAACTGCATAAAACACTAAAACTAGACCTCTGATTGAAACGAGCCCTTTCATTTTTTCTTTCCAAATGTTATTGCATTTGGAATATATATAGTAATATAGTAGTTGTTTATCAAATGTCAACTTAAATTGATTTTGGTGGAAAAAAAAAAAAAACTTTATACCATGATTTTTTATAAAATAAGATAAAGAAAGAGATATATATACGATAGATCCCAAAATATCGTGATTTTTTATAAAATTTAAAAGTAAAAATTTATCAAACTATGCGGCAAAATCATCCATAATTAGGAGGAAGTGGCTTTTTCATATATATATGTGTGTGTGTGTGTAACATATCACAATTTGATAGAAAAGTATTGGGAATAAGATTTATGATGTTTAAATAAATCAAATATTAAACACTTTTTCTACATAATAAATAAATAATTAAAGATAGTCCAAACAAATATTTGTTATTTAAGTGAAATATTTTTTACTATAAAAAACAAGTGTGAAATATGTCTTGGAGGCGGTGGGGGAGGGTGGTTTTGTTTTGATACTGTGGTGGACGCTCTCACTGGATTTTTTTTTTGGTATGCTATATCCATAATTTTTTAGAATTTTATAAATTTCTATTTTTAAATTTTATAAAAAATCATGGTACTAATATTTTTGAATCTGATATATATATATATATATATATATATATATATATATATATATATATATATATATATATATATATCTTTATTTGTCTTATTTTATAAAAAAAATCATGGTACAATTTTTTTTTTTCCCACCAAAATCAATTTAAGTTGACATTTGATAAATAACTACCATATTATTATATATATTCCAAATGCAAGAACATTTTGAAAGAAAAAATTAAAGGCCTTGTTTCAAAATTAGAGGCCTTGTTTTAGTGTTTTATGCAGTTAGTGGTTTTTTTTTTTTTTTTTAAAGTGTGTGATGGGTACTTTATTATACTAATGTATTGTTTATTTTGATTCTAAGGGTAATTTTGTCCTAAAAATTTTCTCATACAATTACTCTAACATAGGTTAGTTAAAATGACCCTCTTATGATAGTTGAAGGGGATTAATTGTTAAAAATATTCATAAGAAGTATTTTTTGCAAACAAGTAAAAGTCGAGAAGTTTTTTTTTTATTTTTTTGCAATTCGCCCATATATATATATTAACATTGTATTAATGGTATGAAACGATCAACTACATAAGCATTTTTGACTTAAATAGTTATAAGGCTGATATACGTGCTAAAAAGAAGAAGGAAAAAAAAACTATCAAGCATAGGTGCATATATACCCATTAAATACATGCATCTATGCATTTGAATTAGATATCAGGTATTTAGTCAACTGTTTGTATTGTGTGTAAAACTCGATATTTTTATATAATGAACCCACAGTAGTATTTTTTTTTTTCTTCATATAAATCCTTAATAAAAAAACAATACTGACTTTATATTTATTTTTGCTGAAGTGGTGACGTAACCAAATCTTTTTTTTCCTACTTATGTTGATCAAATATATATATATATTTAAAGGGTAAATTCAATTTTATAGATTAAAATAATACTACACGCATATTATATATATATGTCTATGTATTTTAATTTTTAAGCAACCTACACCATCAACATCACGAATCACGATCAAGCAGAATGAACACTGTTGAAAGCTGCATTGGTTCGTATGAAGGAAACTAAAAGAGGAAAACGCTGAGCTAGCTTCATAGCTATGTATGCATATCTCTGTGTGTGTGTGTGTGGGGGGGGGGGGGGGGGGGGGTGGGGGTTGGTTGTTTCAAAGCCTAATAAGAGTTAATTTGGGTGATTCATGATGTCATATTCAAAAAGCCAGGGGATGATTGTAGCAGCAGAACAGAACCACTTGTAAAAGTAAGCCAACCAGCAGGAATTAAAGGGCATTCTGTTATAGGTTGGTTATGTGTGTGTGTGTGTGTGTGTGTATATATTTTATTTCTCAATCAAAAAGCAAGCAACGTAGTAGGTAAAAGGTAATTGTTGCTTAATTTGCATATATATATATATATATATATATATATATATATATATATATATAGTTGTTTTGGATTTTAAGGAACTGTCATGGGTCAGTTATCAGGTAAGGTAACATAACTAACCTACCTGCAATGAATTAGCAATAGAAGATATATACTTCATACACACATGATTCACACATGCATACATACATATATATATATATATATATATATATATATTATATACATACATATATCTATGTATCTAGACCATTGCATATCACTAATACTTGGTTGGGGATGAGTAATATGTACTAGCTAGTTTGATGCCATTTAAATAAGTTAATTTGCAAATCAATTACAACTGTGCTAATTGGGATGATGATTTCAAAATTTTCACCCAATATATATATATTTTTTTGGTTGAGAGATAGGGAAAAGAAAGAAGAAAAAGGTGATCGATTGTCATTTGCTCACTTCTCCAACATTTTATAACACTTACAAAAGTGCCCAGTCTCATTGTCACTTGTAGTTTGAAGGTTTAGCTTGTAACTATATTATATATACACACACACACACACATATATGCATGTATTTTTGTGTTTTTCCTGTAATTGTTATTTAATTAGATCCTGTGCTTGGCTTCTTAACTACTGTGGTTTGCAAATAAAGGTGTCGTTGCAAGCATGTTAAGAAGGTCACCATACTTTTTTTTATTTTTTGTTCCGGGAAGATGAAAACTAATGCAAGGGTGTGACTAGTCTTTTTCTTGCCAAGTTCTCAAGTCTCGTTGTCACATTGTAGGTTGAAGGTTTGTTTAGCTTGTAATTATATATATATATTTCTGTGCTTTTCATGTAATTGTTACATAAGGAGATCATGTGCAGGGCTTCTTAATCAGATCATGTTTTTTTTTTTTTTTCCTGAAGATGAAAACTGATTCAAGCGGTGTAATTCTGCTAGAAGAAAGAGATTTGATCAATATCAAATTTAGATTTTTGGAGTTTTAGGATATATATATATATATAGGCAAACTAAATAAAGCTACATAATTGAACCAATAACTCTATCTAGCTTTTCATAGCATCGGACAGCGTCAATTTGCTTATTGTAGCAGAAACTGATCACAGGAGTAATTAATGTCATTCTAGGTAGACTATCTAAGAAATAATAAAGTACAAAACCTTAAGTAAGTACGTACAAATAAGCAAAAAAAAATTTACTATACAATTACAATAGATCATCACCTCATACTACTAGCTAACGTAATTCTACTATTCTCGTTATGTATTTTGTCTTCAATAAAAATGGAACCAAAAAAAAAAAAGGAACATATTTGTGTTTTTTTCCAAACACTTGTATAATTAATTTAACAGCCCCTAAAGGAACTCTTATCCGGCACATTTCCGGCATGGCGAAGCCCGAGCGTGAGCGACACATCTCCGGTGGTGGTCCCGAACCTGATCAATGTTGATCCAATGTCAGCAGCAGCAGTGGTGGTAGTGGTCCCGTAATCAGCCCCCACTATGTCGGCATGGCGACACGTGTCCGGTTCGTGAATAGCCGGAAAAGATTGGATTAGGTGTGGTGGCGGCATGGTGGTGGCAGTGGCGGTGGTGGACACGGTGGCGGTAGTAGTTTTGGCCTGTTTCGCTTGGTTTTCCGAGAAGCACTGTCTATTGATTGCAGCCATTGAAGTGTCGTTTTCGAGTGCATTGATTTCGGATCTTTTGCCTGCTGTTGGTGTAATTGTTGGTGTAGTAGCAGAAGAAGCAGTATTAGCACCAGCTGGTGTGTGTGGGTGTGGGTGTGTGGGTGTGGGTGTGGTGGTAGCAATATTAGGCGTTGGTGTTCGTGAAAGGCCACTGTTTTGGTTCCACTCTCTCTCCTCACTGTCTTCTTCTTTGCTTTCTTGTTGGTACATCTCTTCCACCATGGGTTTCCACAACCGAACTCTGGCATTAATGAACCAGTTTGAGACCTGAAACACACAATACAAAAACCCTAATGTTAGACACTCAATATATATATATATATAATAAAGTTAGTCAAAATGATGAGACCTGACCATAACTAAAGGCAAAAGGGGACCAACAATTAATGTGTGAGATAGAATGATATGTAGAGAGATAAATGTGACTGAATGGGATACATTGAATTAATGATGATATTTTCCATGCAACAAATTGGCGTGCTTTGACCGAGACTCTCTTGTACAGTAACACCAAGTTACCACAATTGAGGAGTCCAGTCTGGTTAAATGACAGTATTGTCCCTAGTGAAAAAGGGTTTCATAAAATTGATGTTTGGTGTTAACAGTCCTTTTCTTGACAGAGGTATTTCCATTAATGAGCACATACATCAGTGACTCCTATTGTTATGGGTATTATATATATGTTTGTGTTATCAAGCTGATAGAGATGGATCTTTCCTTACTTTGGCCCTTCTAGTCCATGAATATAAATTTTGGCTTTTCATGCAGACATATTATTAATCATAATGATAATTATGACATGATTTCTCTTATTGCTTGTTATTATATATTTTGATAAAATTAAGAATAGAGACAAAACTAAAAAGAACATGGTTTTAATTACGTGCATTTGATGACCTAATTAATGGAACAGTATAATTCGTCAACAGGAAAAAACATTAACTAAAGATGGCAGTACTCTCGGAGAAAAAGAGAAAAAGATAAAAGAAGCACAGGAAATCTACTATTTAAAGTACGGATATATATTTTATTTACTGTCTTTAATGGTCCTCACTGAGTGGTTGGATGTGTCTGTATTTATGTGTGTGTATATATGTCTGTCCTCTGTGTGTGTGTTTTGTGTGTGTGTGTGTGTGAGAGAGAGAGAGAGAGGGAGAGAGAGAGTGTGTGTGTAAGAATCAAAGCTGCAAACTCTCATGTCTCATCTCCTGTACTTGCCTCTGCCCTTACTTGTCTGAAATTTTTTTTCGCTGTTTCCGAATTTATGTCTTGGTAGAGAAGAATCCAAACATACAAATTAAAAAACAAAATTAATTAACAGAAATAAGGTAAAAAGGTCTTGGCCCTTCCTTAACAGAAAAAGGTAAAGCAATCATAAATATAACCCTAAACCATGCAAGTCCATCTGAACTTTACTCACAGTCACCCCTAACTGTTCCTCTTTTTGTTTCTCTCATCATCACAATTTTTTTTTTCTTTTTCTTTTTCTCTCTCTTTTAATCCAAAACGTTAATCACCACCCAGAAATAGATAAACCCCTCCCCCTTTCTCTCTCTCATCAAACCCTAACAATAATGGAGAATGTGGAAGAACCCTCCCACGAGAGTTAGGCCAAAGAGGGAGAGGTTGTTAGCACTAGTTGTATTTGTGGATATTTTTTATGTAAACGTGTTTTGAAAACGTAATAAATGTGCAAAGCGGACAGTAACTACACAGTGTGGGTGGTGAGAGACACACATATATATAGTGGAGTGTGTTTAATTTGTATTATATATCTGTGTGTGTGTGAGAGATATATGTACGTATGCGCGCGTGCATGATGTAAGAGATGGGTGGTGGTTTGGATTAGAAGAAGAACCTGGTTTCTGGAAAGACCAGTCTGTCTCGCCAACAGATGCTTATCTGCATCGCTTGGATACCTGAGAAAGAGAGAGACCAGAAAATGACATCAGAGTCCTTACCCAAACCATATAAACAGACAACAAGCTTTATGTATCCGTAGATGAGATTCAACCTTTCCTTGTTTCACTGCATGGGCGTCACAATCTATGCTAACATCCATCAGGAGATAGAGATGATCACGATCATCATCAGTACGTAGCACCAGAACATGTAGTACTACTCACTGATCACCTCCTCTCATCTCTCTCTCATAACACCCACCCACTAGATTCTACTATATATATAAATAGACACACACATTATATTCACTTTATCATATATATATATATATATATATATATATATATATATAATTTCAAAATTATATATACACATACATATGTGTGAAATCATAGTTTAATGGTGACTCTTTTTATGTAGTAATACACTAGGTCAGACGAGAGTCTAATGGGCTGTTATGAGTCAGGAGAAAAAGTAATGATCAAATTCAGCTTCTTCTTTTTTCAGACCAGACAATACCAAAAGACACTCCATTGCATTAGTACTGCTTTAGAAACACCAATTGAAAAGTGAATGGAAACAAAGTAAACAATATATATATATATATATATATATATATATATATATATATATGAAAAATGTTGAATTTGTAATTGAAAAATGATTTGTCTGTTTTATGTAAGTGAGAACTGACATAACAGTGATATTAGTCCCCTCTCACGTTAAAAACAATTTGTAATTATGTAATGAAGTGTCATTTTGTTGTCTATAATTTTGTAATAATTGTTTTGATTTGATTATGGTAATATTTAGAGAGAAAGGTTATGTGACGTACGGGTGAAGGAAATGCTCAAAAAGCCAAGCTCTCAAAATGTTGACTGAACGTTCAGGCAAGCCTCTTTGGGGTCTCCAAGCTTCTTGTTCCATCATACCCATTTGGTGGAAGGCTCTTTGCTGTCTCAGACTTTGCTCAAGCAGTTTAAGCCTTGGAGTCTCTCCTTTGGTCACTCCGGAGGTACCGGCATCTTTCTCTCCCAAGAGTTCACAACTGTGCTTCAATTCTGCTGCTATTGCATCTTTTAGACACCGAAAATGGCGCGACATCGCCTTTTGGGCAAGGGCAGTATATGGCACTGCTGCTCCAAAACCCATCACCAGATCAAATGAATTCACTACCATTTGCATTTGTTCGCAGTAATGGTTGTATCTTCGATCCACCTGCAAAGATGAATTTAGTTTCAAACACCAAAACAGTTCAGAATTATGTAGGGCTATATTGAGGTCCAAAATTTCAAATTAGACAAAGACTTTATTATATTAATTAACTATTTTCTTTTTTAATTATGATAATAATTAACTATATATTGCCAATATAAGAGGAGAATGGGGAGGTTATGCTGTAGCTTTCTCCAATATATAACAACTACTAAACCAATTGATAATTGTTAATATTTCATGTAATATGAATTAGCTTATAAATCGAAGGAGGAGAAGATGAGAAGAGAACGGAACATTCCTTATTTATAATCTCAATAGCCCGAAACTAGTTTCAAAGATGAGGTCTCTTTTTTAAGTAAAACCTATATAGTAGGTCTATAAATGCCTGAATCAAATGCCTCGTGCAGTAAAATTGATGGTCAATGGGGAACAAATTAGTAATATCCTGATTTTTCTTCCTTACTATCTTTTCCCAATTAATCTAGAGGTATACAAACCAAAAAAAAAAAAAAAAAAAAAATCAATAAAATAGAAAAAATTCAATCCACCCCACAGGTCAACTGAAACATAAATTTTGATTGGTTCTCTCTGTCAGTTAGTCTTGGAGAACCAGCATTCCTGAAAACTACATATATCTATGTGTGTGTGTGTGTGTGTGTGTATTATACAGTGGTTTAATAGCCATCTTTCCACTCACAAGTCAGTCTTTTTCTTAGTTCTTACCCCTAATAATAGTAGTAGTCATCTCGTGTTTTCACCAAACGAAAATCCAATGCACCCAAACACCCCCACCTATTGAATCAGTGACATAACCTATAAATATATAAAAATTGCATGTATGAAGCTCAACCTTCTCAATTCACTAGCCGGCTTTTCTTTATACTAGAGTCTAGACTAGTGTATTAAATATTTAAATAAATAAAAAATCATAAAACTTGCCTAATTTTCTATTACCCAAGTTGATTTCAAAATTAATTAATGGACTAAACAAAAGAAAATGATTGGTTAGTAAGAGAGTGAGTGAAGAGAGGGAGAGATTACATGCCTCATCAAGCATGGATAATAGTTTAACCTTCCTTCTCTGGTGCTCAATTCTATCAGCAGCTGACAGAGAAGGGAGATCCTTTGAGGAAGACGAAGAACCGCCACCGCCGCCACCAGAACCACCACCACCACTAGGATTAGAGTTAAGATTTGAATTATTTCTCCCAAACTTGCTCTTCTTGAACTGACCTCTCCCAACACTGCAAAACTCTTCCAATAATTCTTGTGCAGCCCTCACATACTTGGAATTCCTCAACACATTGACCATCCCCAATGAAGAAGACCCAAACCCAACATGAACCTGGTGGTTCTGATCAACCCCACCTTGCAAATGCAATGCCTGCTGATGCCCACTCAAATTCTTGAAAGGATACTGGCCTGAACTTGAGCCTCCCCCTTGATTAAAGAACAACATCCCACCATCTCCCATCCTCAATTCCTCGGCTTTTGCCGCCTCCAAGTGCTGCAACGACGATGATAAAGACAACGAAAGGCCTTGGCCTTCCACTACACCTCCAAATTGATCACTAGGGTTGTTGTTGAGCTGTGCCGCGGTGGCGCCGCTGCCGCCTTCGTGACCACTGTCAGGAACCCAAGTGAATTGTGATGTCCCAACTGAGTTGTGAAACCCTTGAAGAGTGGAGGTTGATGATGGGTTGGGAAGCAACATGTGAAGTGTAGAAGATGTTGGAGGAGGATGAGAATTAGGAGATGGCGAAGGTGATCTAGGTTGTGGGTTCATGAGAAAAAGCTGCATGGCAGCTGCTGAATCCGCATTAATGCTTGAAATCTGGTGGTGGTGGTGGTGGTGATTATTAACAACGTTCTGATTCTTTGAATCATGACTCAATGGTCCCAAATCACCCACCACCAATCCTTGCCTGTTCCCATACCACTCAGTGGCCGCAGACGGCGGTCTTGGGCTCCGGTAATTCGGCGATATCTGATGCTCTAACAATTCGGTGGCTGTGGCAGGTCCAGATGGAAAATTGAACATTTCTGATAACATACCTGTTGTCTCGTACACCGGAAGCCCCACCGGTTCTTCTTCTTCGATAGCCACCAATGGCGGTGGTGGCTCGAAACCTTGGACTCGGAGTTTGTCCCTCCGGATCTGTTGTCCGATGTGTTGGTGGTGTTGTTGCTGTTGCTGCTGCTGTTGTTGTTGTTCTCGTTGGGATCTCTCGAACCCATTTGAGAAACTGAAGAGGCCTTGGTGGTAATCTTGGGACATAGAATTTTGAGAATTGGGATTGTCTGAGATTTGAATTGAATGGAGAGCTCTTGGATGAGATAGTGATGGTGTTGCTATTCCCATATCACTACTGCTTTCTTCTTCATCATCATCACTATATATTGATTTTGATCTTGATCTTGATCTCTCTTATAGCTGCTCAATTTAAGCATGGATTGGTCATAAACAACAAAAATGAAGAATACCCATTGTAGAATTTTGGGTTGTTCATAAAAATAATACAACATAATAAGATTAATCATAGTAGAATTGAAATTAATGGAGATAAAAAAAAGAGAAGGCATCAAATGGGTGCTTTTTTGTGCTTTCCAAAAAAATAATAATAATAATTTAAATTTTTAAAAAATTCAGCTTTATTCATGTATGTATGATATACTACCTGTTAGAGTTGCAGGGTGTAAAAGGGTGCAAAGCTCTCAGACATCGTTTTCTCCTCTGAGGAATTGAAAGGCTCTTGAATTCTTTTCTCTCTAACTTTCTCTCTCTGTCTGTCCTCTCTAAGTCTGTCGTTTCTCTCTCTCTAGCTTTCTCTTTCTCTCCTTTTCCTTTCCCTCTTCGTTGCTCTTTCTTTGCAGTGACTAGTGTCCTCTGCAATCGCCTTCTGGAAAGATAGATTGAACAAACAAGCAACTATATATATATATATATATATATATATGGAGGCTTAGAGCTGAGATATATATATATAATATCCCTCTCTTTTTCTCTCTACTCTTAAGAGAGAGGACAGGAGAGAAGAGGTTGATATTCTTCAACACCTCCTTTTTCACTCATTATTAATTTATAAAAGGATGTTATCCTCTGTTGGTGTTTGCTATGCGGAACACTGGGATGTAAGAAACTTAACATTTCTTCTTATTATTATTTTATGAGTAAGTATTTGGTGTGGGCGATCCCATGGTAAACTCGCGCCCATGGCAATCACAGTGAGAGGATTCTCATCATAGGTTTTTACTTATTTTATATAAATTATCGAAGAGGTAAAAAAAAAAATATAGGGAAAATTACTTCCTATTAGTACCCTATGAGGTGTTCCTTGTAACATTTTTTTTATGAAATCTCCTTTGAATTGGCATACTTTGAATAGTGAAAATAATACATAAATTATATCATTACGTTCCAATATTAAAGTAGATCTTACTGTGATAAAAATCAGTTCAAAATACTATAAAATGAAATTATACGAGACTATCAAGTTTTATAGTGCAATTTGGTATAAAAAAAATAATAATTAAAAAAAGAGAGAGAAAATATAAAACTTTGGCTAATTCATATGATCTATTATAAATAAATTTTAGTACAAAATTTTAATTATATAATTCTCATACAATTGTCTTTCATACTCGTATCTGAATACTTATTAGTCTAACTTCTAAATTGTACTATACCTTACTCAAAACTTAGTACTAACTTCTAAATTGGAAGGACCAATAAGTCCTTAAGAACTTTATTAGGACAAGTAAGTCCTACTTTTATTAATTTCATCATTCCACTTATCTTAGTTTTCTTTCAAAATTATTTTTTATAGAAATATCGTTAATGCCATTTTCTTATGTTATTCAAAGAAAAAATTATACTATATTGATGCACTTTATTTATTTATATATATAAGTAAGTAAAATATAATTTTAAATTTACATAAAATTACCTATAAATAACAAGATAACAAATAGATCTAATAAGAGATAAGTAAGGAAAACATCTTCTAACAGGAAAGGAAAGTCTGCCCACTTATAAAAATAAAATGAAAAATATGAATTTATTTAAAGAGGTTATCATAAAAAATAAAGAAAAGACAGTGTCAAATGACAAAAATAGCCCCCTTCAGAAAATAAAAACAAAATAAAAACAAAAAAAAACTAATTTTCATACTCAATATGTCACGACCCGTCCATACCGTGTAGTTATTGTCATGCTAGCTAACGAGGTTATTGGGCCCAAGAAAGGTGATTGTGACATCCCACATCGCTTGGGAGAAGTGAAACTTATATGTGTGGATACTCCACAACTATGTAGACGCGTTTTGAGAAAAATTGTGAGTACCGAAAGGACAATCTGCAAAGCAAACAATATCTATAAAGGTTAGGGTGCCAATCCCGAGCTCAAAACTAATCGCTACTTAAAGAAGCCAATCCCGAGCTGAAAATGAGTGAGCATGCACCAGCCCATGAAGGTTCGGTCAGTGTCCTAATAGGGGTGATTGTGACATTTCAGATTGACAAATGGTATCAAAACCAATCCCAACCTAAAAAAGCAAATCCCGAGCTCAAAACTAATCCTAACCTAGAGAAGCCAATCCCGAGCTCAAAACTAATCCCAATTTAGAAAAGCCAATCCCAAGCTAAAAACAAAAGAGTATGCACCAGCTCATAAAGGTTTGGCCAATGTCCCAATAAGGAGTGATTGTGACATTTCACATCGCAAGGGGGAGAAGTGAAACTATGAACACCGATTAGAAAATAGACAATATCTACACAATATGAGCGATAATATAAACTCTCATTTTCCAAAATGGAAGCTTGAATGTACGAGGTTCGGTAGAGACATAATATATGTAGTGGGTGTATGTCTTTGCTTCATTTTTTGGTGGAAAAAAAAAAAAAGGGTAAGGGAAATGACTAAGGGGATCTTGTTTCTCCGTGTTCCTTGTTTTCACCAATGGAAGGAAATAGGTACTATAAATTAAAGGCTCTCATTTTACATTTTGTTGACAATGATGGTTGTTGACAACTCATAATTTACCACCAGACATATGTAACTTTCTTGTTTTACATGCACAAGTATCGAGAAGTTACAGTAAAAATTCTAGGAGTGATCTCAACGAGGTTCTAACCATTAAACTATATCTCCCTATGAAGTTAGAAAGAATATAGTGGTAAGGTGCGTAATGCAATATTAAATATAGTGTTAAACTACGTAATGCAATATTAATTTCCTTTCTAAAGATCACTTAGCCTTTGAAATTCAACCAAATAAAAAGAGAATAGTCGTTTGGGATACTTAATCCATAATTTGTTCAAAATTTTCGTCCCCTCACCAAACATAACATGCATAGTGTTGTACATATATATATATATATATATATATTGTAAATTAAAGACTCACAGGTTTACTTTTTACCCCTAATAAGACTTTAACCCTAAATTTTTTACTTAAAAAATTAGAATCCATATCACTAGATTACAACATTTGGTAGTAAAAATGATGGAGTAAATTAAATAACTTGGTGTATGAAAAAGGCTTATCATTTTTTATTGGAGCATTTAACACCCCTGTAGTATGCGTATAACTCCCTATAGGTTTTGAAAACCCCCTAACGTTTATTGTAGGGGCAAATAAGTACCTCCCGTCAATTGACCGTTAATGGGGTGATAAAAATACTAAAATGCCTTTCCTACAATTAAAAATAAATAAAAATTCAGTTAATGTAAAATTACTATTATATCCTTTATTTTTTAGATTTATATACATAAGGGAATGGCATTTTGGGAATCAATAAAGGGTAATTTTAGTATTTATAAAATTTAATCAATCATGTGTCAGGCACATGTTTTTTTAATAGTGTTTTTAACGGTAACAGTCCAAAAGTCATTATTTACAACATTTTCAAATTCTTGAAGGAGTTATATACCGAAAGTAAAAGAGGGGGTATTATTTGCTCAAAAAGTAAACCTCAGGTGTTTTAGCATCCCTTTTAAATTTTATCAACCAATGATATGGTAAATTCCAATAATTATGATTAAAGGAAAGGTAAATTGCAAAAAACCTCCCTCAACTTTTAGAGATTTACAAATTCTCCCCTAATAATGCAACTAACCTTCCAAATTTTTAGGAGGTACAATTTATTGAGTGTCGTTAAGATGCATTTAATTTATCATTTTACCTTGAAGAAATAAAAAAATTAGGTAAATTGTAAAAAAATCTCTCAACTGTCAAAGTGTGATTTGCAGCCTTTCTTAATATTTTAAGGTGATTATATCCAAAAATAAAAGTTGAGAGAGATAATCTACTAAAAATTGAGGGCTTTTTAAAAACATACATATCTCATGAGGCTTTAATATATATACTATTATCCATTTTAATCTTTTGTTTAACATGAAAAAAATGCCACTTGGAGATGTCTGCTCTAATTGTTATTTTCCTAGGAAACCAACGCAAACAAAAGAATATAAAAGATAAAGTTCAGTATAAGGTCATCTCATTGATCTAACAACCACCACACTCGGTTTCGTTCTTTTCTCAAGAATGCACTTGATGATTATAACTTTAGATACACAACTAAATTGAGTAGTTGAGTAGGTCATTTTGGACATTTCGAAACACTTTTCTGCGTTTTAACAGACAAAAAAGAAAAAACCCAAATACTAAGAGAAGTCTAAAAGCAAAAACATGGCTTGCACGTGCGGTAGGTTTAGCCCTAAACAAGAAGTTAGGTTCGTGGGAGGTTTAAGTCTGAAAGACACTCATAACTGATTTACGGTTTGGCATGGATTTTTTCCAATAATTTTCTTCCCAAGCATTCCTAGGTTTATATTTAACAGATAGTCAAACACCAAATAATCATTTTTAATAACATTGTGAGTAGTTAAACAAGTGATTAACATTGTGTTCATTTTTTCAAAATTATAAAAATTGCTTAACTTCCCAAAAAAAAAACCCTACTTCCTTGTGCTTTGTTACTCTATACTCTAGAGGCAAAATATATATACAGCCCATGTGATGTAATATTTTTATTATTATTTATTTTATACAAAATTAAGAGGTTTTTTTTTTTTAGTTAAAGGATAAGCTTGTGCATAGATGAAGAAAAATGTACAGGGTGCTCTTTAAAAAAAAGAAAATTAAGAGTTGAAGTTCAAAAATTAGCTTGTTTGATAAACAATTAAGTATATATGTGGATCATATCAATTTCTAAGCGAGAGTAAAATTCCTATTTGACCTTGAAAAAAAAAAAATTCCTATTTTATCACCATCATCATTATCATACTTGTCTTTTTTTTTTTTTTTTTTTTTCCCTTTAATTCTCTTTATTACAAGTGAAGTTCTCCTACTGACATGCATTTGATTTTTTAAAAGTTCTTTATTATCTTATCGTTCCTAAACTAATTTTGGCTGGAATCTTTATTACTTACTTTCTATATAAATTAATTTTCTTTTTTAAAAAAAAATTGTGTTTGTATCTATTTGTCAATGTGGTAAATGGCCATACCATTTAAACCGATTTTCTTTTATCATATTACTAAGACATCCACCTAATTGTTCTCTCTCTTGTTAGTTATTGATCATCTAATCTCTTACAGTCACTTTTTTTCATCTGTTTTAGCATACTATTTCAATTACATGAATTTCTTGTCCTTATTTCTTGTTTAATATTAGAAAATACTATATTTATCTACTTCAAATAAAACAGTAGGCGTAGTAAATGATTTTATATTAAAATGTTCCTTTAACTTATTTTCTTCTATCACAATTCACACAAGACATTGTTAGTCTGCCTCCATGTGTTCAACTATATATATATATATACTCCAAACGATGATTAATTGCTTAAGCTATATTATCTATGTTTGAGTCGTTGACAACTTTTCCACAGGAGAAAATTTTACATTTCACAAGAAATTGGAACATCATCGATCTCTTCGATATATGTTTTTTTTTTTTAAATTTAAAACAACTGACAAATATGGGATGTGGATTCGAATTCATTTGGCCATAACCACCAACAATCTACTACTGGACTATCACACTACACCCAATATATACTAAATTGAAAGTGTGACAATAATCTCCTTAC